TGTAATGTCCTCGTATGAGGAAGCAGGGTCTCAAGAGGTAAAGTCATTTTCTGATAATTTCTAGTTTCTAAAGTGTTTATATCTTAAATTGTGGCCAAGCTATTTGCAGTCTACTAGACAAAACAACAGAACTTGGTCCGAGGAGGAACTGATCCTCTGACCTTCTATCTGCTCTAACCACTGAACCTCTGTCACCCCCTTTTAAGTGATTGTATTTTGCAAAGTCACAATTAAATTATAAAATTCTATTCAAATTAAAAAAAGCTTAATGGCAATTTCCACATGAACATATGAAAAATTGTAATTGTGTTCCTCACTCCCAATCTTCTATCTAAATAAATAATAAGGTGCAGTTTTGTGGCTTCCTGGCAGCCTGGTGGTTATAGGCGAGTTTCATTGTTGACAAAAGCGCGCGTTGCATGCTGGGAATTATTTTGGTCGGCGGCAAGAAACACTAATTCAACATGACGGACGGAGCGAGAAAGCACGTAAAGGGTATTGATCCCAGTTATTTATCCACTCTAACGGCAGAGGACCCAAGATGATTTGACCAGAAATTTGTCATAAGCATCAATGGATGCAAAATCACCCTTTTCAACCCCTACAGAGCCTGGACCAAACCAAAATTCTGGTCAGAATCGCCAACTACCTGGCTAAATATTCACATGGGCGATATCCACAATGACTTGGTGGAAACTCCTGGGCCGTTCACAGCAGAAAAGATGAAAACCTCCAAGAGTCTCGATGTGTTGTTGAACTTGTTGGAGTCCACGGTTTGTTAGGATCTTCTACGTTTGCTCTGCGGATGTTTGAAAGCCGTTTAATTCACCGTTAGTGGTTCTTTTCACTCAGAATACAAAAAAGACATTTTCCTTCTTCCGTGCTTCTATTTGTGCATCCGATAATGCAGCAGGAATTTACCATTATCGGGGATAAAAACGCGAGGTTACGCACTGTGTTTGACCGCTATCATGTTTCTTTCCTCCGACCAAAATATTTCCCAGCATGCAACGCGGGCTTTTAATAACAATGACGTCAGCTGAAACTCGCCTATAGAGAGGAGAGTTCAGCATCCTGACAGTCTGGTGGATGAAGCTGTTAGTGAGTCTGGTGGTGCAGGAACCGAGACTCCGGTACCTCCTCCCGGGGCGCAGGAGACTGAACAGATTGTGTTCAGGGTGACTTGCATCACTCACAGTTGTGATGGCTTTGTGGGTGAGGCGGGTGGTGTACATGCAGGTGGTGTATATATGGGTGAGACGGGTGGTGTATATGATTAGTTTGGAATTTTTCTTTTTTTTTCCTTTTTTTTTTTAAAGTCTGTGTAAACAATGAATGAACATGTTACTTCCAGAAACAGGACTCTTGAAAACATACCAGGTCTCAGAGAAATCCATTGAACTAGCACTAAAAAGGGAGAGAGAGTGCATTTACAGTATATTATCTGTATCTGATTATTACGGTTAAAAATATGAAAAACAGAACTAATTAATTTTTAAACAGTTTACTTACTTACCTTATGTATTCTAACCGTCCTAATTATCACCACATTTTTCACAAGTTTCGAGTGGAGTTTTGCAACAATAACTCGTATGTTTAACTAGTGCCCAAGGAAAATATTAATGCTAAAAACTACAATATTAATAAAAAGGGTGTTACTAAAGCTTCGATGTTGTACATTCCGGTGTTTCCTCTGAAGAGCTTTGGGTTGTGTCTCTGCACGTCCCCGAGGACCACAGCTGTGTCCAGGACGATGCAGTTCATGGTGTGGGATAGTTTTTGGCTGGGGCCCCTTTCTGAACTGACTGCGGGGACCACTCTTTGGACTGACTGCGGGGGCCACTGTTCTGGACTGACTGTGGGGGCCACTCTTTGGACTGACTGCGGGGGCCACTTTCTGGACTGACTGTTTTTTTTTTTTGTTTTTTCTGAATTGCCAGGCCCCTCTCTGGACTGACTTTGGGGGGCCCTCTTTAGACTGACTACCAGGGGCCCCTCTCTGGATTGACTGCAGGGTCCCCTCTCTGGACTAACTGTGGGGGCCCCTCTCTGAACTACCTGTTTTTTTTTGTTTTTTTCTCTCTCTCTGAACTGCTAGGCCCCTCTCTGGACTGACTGTAAGGGCCCCTCTCTGAACTGACTATGAGGGCCCCTCTCTGGACTGACTGCGGGGCCACTCTCTGGACTGACTGAGTTTTTTTCTATGAACTGCCAGGCCCCTTTCTGGACTGACTGTGAGGGCCCCTCTTTGGACTGACTCCTGGGGGCCCCAATCTGGACTGACTGCGGGGGCCCCTGTCTGAACTGACTGTGAGGGCCCCTCTCTGGACTGACTGTGAGGGCCCCACTTTGGACTGACTGCAGGGACCCCTCTCTGGACTGACTGTGGGAGCCCCTCTCTGAACTGACTGTAGGGGCCCCTCTCTGGACTGACTGTAGGGGCCCCTATCTGGACTGATTGCGGGGTCCCTCTCTGGACTGACTCGGCTTTTTTCTGTGAATTGCCAGGCCCCTCTCTGGACTGACTGCAAGGGCCCCTCTCTGGACTGACTGCGGGGGGCCCCTCTTTAAACTGTAGCCCCTGTGAGCGGCCCTGGAGAGTGTCAGGGGCCCCACATGCTCCTCACTCACTGTTGTTGACTTAACATTAGGATTGACTTTCACTGTTTCCTTTGGAGGCCAGAGCTTGTAACTCTGACCTGTCCCCCTCCACTCGCAGTACTGTGTGTGTGTGTGTGTGTGTGTGTGTGTGTGTGTGTGTGTGTATGACGCTCAAAATGCTCTGTTTCACCTTGTGATGTCATGAAGCGGTAGTTTTCGAGTTCACAGCTCCTTTTACCTTTAGTTCAGTAGAGATTCTCAATTCCAGAGCTGGAACTATTTTACTATGTGACATCACAAGGTGGAACAGAGTGTTTTCTGTTAGAGAGAGGTTTGTGTGGTAAACATGTGTGTGTAAATGAAACAAAACACACACACCCACACACACAAAAAAAACATGTGTTTGTGATGAAACATTATAATATAGATCAGAAAACAGTGCAATATGGGCATTTTAATAATCGTAAAATCTGTATTCTCATAAGAGCTGTGACCTTAAAGTTCTTTGATATATGATTAAATTTTAAAAAATGCAAATTACAATCTTAATTGTTTTATTTTATTGCCAGTGTGGTACCAACTGGTCTAACCATTATTGAGCCAAATTAACAGAGGTGTGTAGAGCAGTGTTTCTCAAAGACTGGGTCGCGGCCCTCAGGTGGGTCGCAAGAGATTTTTTGGGGTCACCTTGTCACGATCTGCATGTAGCTCTGCAGTATACAGTTGTACACATGGATCTGTGACCTTATCGTCATTCTGGATGAATCTCCTGTCCTCAGTAGGGCCAATATTTCTATGCTTATTCCTTTCACTACTACTGTACAAGTTTGTGTGAACTGGGATTTTCTGTGCTCACAAAAATGAAAACACAGCACAAAAACAGACTGAATGCTGCTCCTGATCTGCTGCTGCGTCTCCTCCTGCAACACAAACAGACCCACTTATCTCACTAGAAATGTTGAAATGTTAAGATAAGATAAGATAATCCTTTATTGTCTCCCATGGGAGAAATTTGTCTTGGGACAATTTGTCTTTATCAAAAAACATGACAACACAAAACAAAGCACCACATAAACAAACACCATAGAACAAAGTAAACATGAGACCAAGTATGACCACAAGTGATGCACCAACAGGACTTTTACATTATTCTTAGCAGGCAAACCCTTTGCATTCTTGTATTCTATTAATTATTGCACATTCCCTAAGCCTATGTACAGTTTTGATTGCACATTCCCCTTGAGCCTAAGTGCAGTTTTAATTATTGCACATTCTCTAAGCCTTTTATAATTATTTTTAACTGCACTATCTGAGTTTAGCAGATTAACAGCTAGTGGCACAAAAGAATGTTTGAATCTGTTCAGTTTACAGTTTGGGACCCTGAACCTTCTGCCTGATGGCGTCAACTCAAACTGACTGTGAAGAACATGGGTTGGGTCATTGATCACCTTCCTGCCGAGCTTCCTCACAGTCTCCTCAAAAATGACATGTTTTAAATAATTTCTAATCTTTTTGTAATTATTTTATTGACTATTTTGTTCCAATAACATGTTCACGAAAAAAAGAATTTGATGAACCCTCCACTAGAAAACTACAAAATGCAATGTCAGACGTTATTTGATTAAATGTATTGCATTTTTATGACAGATTTTTACTTGGAAATTGTGGTGCATGAGAATTTTAACTTGTTTTATATGTTTTCAATATTTTATTCCTGAATGTTGCTGGTTCAATTGAATGCAGAAAAGGAAAAAAAAAAGTTCTACAGTTAATGTCCAAATAGGCGACTTATGGATCCTTTTATTGCTGGTTCAATTTTTCATTGTTTAAAACTTGAGTAATACTAACTGTTCAGAGACATGATCACTCAATAACAATAAAATATCATCATTACTGTTCAATAATGTTCAAATCCACCTTTATTTTGAGATTTATTAATAATGTCTGTTGACTTGAGTTGTGAAGGAGTTTTTTTTTTTTTTTTTTTTTCATCAGCCACATTAAAAAAAAAAAAAAACAAGAGAAAGATTTTTTGGATTTTTAAAAAATTATTATTTATTTATTTATTTATTTTTGAGTTGGTTAAAAAAAAAAAAAAAAAAACAAAACTTTGAAAATAGAGCCCAAATGACCTGAATCTTTTTTTTTTTTTTTTTTCTCTTGCCTCTCAAGGCTTCCGTACAATTTCTTTCAAAACCTACTCAAGTAAATGTAACTTACCACCCCATCAGGAAATGTTGGAGGTGTACAAGTGTATCAAACATTTTTACATTTAACCGTATTATAGCATATTTCTAACATATTTATTTTAACAGATTTTTTTGTTTTCTTTGCCGTTTTAAACTGTAAACGCTGTGCCCTGTTTGACTCTTTTCTCTTCTTGTGTTTTCTTTTCGCAGGCCTTTGTCTCCCTCTCTCTGCTGTTCTGGGTACTGCAGTGCGTGTCTCAACTCTTCACCATCAAGAACAAAATGGCCTGAAGACGCGCCGCACTTCACCGTCTCGAAAAACCCACGATGAAACTTGATAAACCAAGACTGAATGTAAACGCTAAAGAAGCCTAAAGGTGCACCGTGTAACTTTTTGGTCGGGGGGTTTGTCGCATACTTTACATTTCTTCAATTACAGGTGGTTTTAAAGCTCAAAAATACCTAAAAAAACAGATAATTTGGGTGCGAGCGGGTCGTTTCTCCGCAGATCCGACCTGTAACTTGGTCCGGTTTGGTCTCTGTGAAAATAAAAAGCTTTACCACACTGTGAAACATTCCAGACAAAGCGATAACACCTCCACGAAAAAAAAAAAGTTTTACAAACCCTCCACTAAAAAACTACAAAATGCACCTGTAACTCAGAAGTTATTTGATTAAATTTATGCATTTTTATGACAGATTTTTACTTGGAAATTGTGGTGCTTGAGAATTTTAACTCATTTTATACGTTTTAAATATTTTATTCTTGAATTCTTGTCTGATTTTTCAACTTTTATTTCGCTGTAATCCTTTTCCAAACGTAATCGAATGACCGCGTATGTATTGACTTTATGGCTTCTTTATTATAGACACATGTCACTTTATTGTATTATCTCTATATTTCACTTTCACTTTGTATACCTCCGAGCAGATCGCGCCGATCCACCACTACTTGCCTGAAATATTGAACCAAACTGTTTTTCACTATGCAATAAATAAAGAAAATATATAAAGAAAAAACTGTGGAAATTGGACTTTATCTTGGTTTGAATTTGACGTCATTATATTATTTATGAGTTATGGGTGTCAAAAAATATTGAAATGTTGATATATCGTACAGTTTAATGTGATGATACAGTATTGATATCGTGGGCTGCTGTATCGATATATCGCCATGAGTATTTTGGTATATTTGACTAAATTATTTTGTTACAGTGCTACAGTTTTGTTGCTTGTTTAGTGAAAAGAAACTCATTTGTGCAACACATTTGACATTTTCACTGTTTTGAGGATTAAAATGTTTGTGTTTTATATGAACTTTGCACAAGATGTGGTTTAACAAGGACTTTTAGAATCACAGCCATGATTTTGCTTTTATTTTTATTGAACCGTATCGAATCAATTTGAAATATATCATCTCGAATCGAAAGTGCACTGGATTGAGATATGTATCGTATCGTGGCCTGTGTAACATATCGGAAACTTCTTAATGACACCCAGCCCTGTTTATTAGCAGTGACATTTGTTGTTCACATTAGCAAATAATATAGAGCTCAAATTAAAGGAACACTCTGAAAACAGAAGGTCTCAATATGAAAAAACTCGTTATGTGCTTATTTTGTTTCTTAATGTGGGTTATTTTGAGTACCGTATTTTTTGGACTATAAGTCACACTTTTTTTTCATGGTTTGAGTAGTCATGTGACTTTTACTCCAGTGTGACTTTTATATTAAAATTGTATGTGTGTCAGTATCTGCTGCAGGAAGAGCCTCTGTTCTGTCTGTATCATGTCAGTCGATCGCACCAATACTTCTGCACCACTGAAAATGTAAAATTTAAACAAACTTATAAAGACGACTGAGAAGACTGAACACAAATGCCCCCAAAAAGAAAATCATATTTTGCAGATTACAAGAAATCTGCAGCTGAACACGATAACTGAGCAACAGAAAGTTTGAAGTGAGCGAGAAACACTGGGAGGATGCATCATGCAACTTTCCTGGAAGTCACTGGATGGATCGACAAAGCCTGGACTTCAGTGACAACGACTTCAGTATGAAAGTGGTGTGTGCATGAGTGATGGTGGTGGTCGGAGGGGCCGATGGCGCAGATTGGCAGCCTCGCTTCAGTCAGTCTGCCCCAGGGCAGCTGTGGCTACAGTAGTAGCTCACCACCACTGAGTGTCAAGTGAATGAACAATGAACAGTAAAGCGCTTTGGGTATCTTGAAAGGCTCTATATAAATGCTATAATTAATTAATAATTAATAACCAAAACCATCCTGTCGAGATTCAGAAAGGCCCGAATAATTCTAACTGGAACTGATGCTGAGTCTGATGACAGCGACACAGAAGAGGAAGCGGCGCTCTGTTTACCTCCGGAGGTCATGAAGTTGCTCAGAAATGACACCGAGGATGAAGAACGAATGGATTTAGTGATTTGGAGTGAGATGGAGAGTTTGTTAAACATGTTCTGTTCTGTTGTTTATGTTATAGTTTATCTGAAGAACTGTTCATATGTGACGTTAACAGTCTGTTGTTCTCTCTTCCATTGTTATTACTAGAACTTGCCTTTCAAGGTTAAATGTCAGTTCCTGTTCTCTGATTTTATAAAATAAATTTCCCCCAAAAAGTGCGACTTATATTCCAGTGTGACTTATATATGTTTTTTTCTTCATCATTATGCATGTTTTGGCTGGTGCAACTTTTACTCTAGAGCAACTTGTAGTCCGAAAAATACAGTGTATATTTTAAACCACTTTTGTTATTCTACCTCCTACAGTCCTGTTAAATTATTCCTTTATTTATTCCATTTTTGAATCTTGGTTTCTGACCCTAGCGAGCTGGGTCATAACACTTGTCCATTTGGCCAAAATTTTATTTCTGCAATTCAAAATGTTTCTCAGTCTCTTGTGTGGCCCCTCGTTCTTGTGTGCATGTTTGATAATCACTCTAGCCAAAGCAGCACTAGCAGAAAACCAGCCAAAAAACACCAAGAGGAAGAAACTTGAAATGAGCTCCACAGATAAAACCAGTTCTGTTTTAGGGTTTGTCTCATTTTTGCTGCTCTAATGCACTTGTTGTTCATTTTCAGTAAAAGAGGTGGCTTCCTTTTGTTCCTAAGTCATTGTCCTGTCCAGATTTGTATATATGTTTTTCACACTGAGATCTGATGTGTTTTCAACTTGTAATCTTTACTCTCCTGAATTCACGACGCCTTTCCTCCGATCCAACCTGTTTTCACCACCACCTGTACACGCCCACTGCTCTGTAGGCTATTTATTCTCCAAGTTTATTTTCTTTATTTGTGATACACACGTAGATTTCTGCTACAACCAGCTTTACAGAAGAGGTTCTACCAGCATGAGGAGTTTGACGTTTACAGTGACGTCAGCTCCGTATTTTTCAACCTGGAAGTCACAGAACCTGTTTCTTTTATCAAGTTGTTATGACCCAGCTCGCCAGGGTGAGGGTGATAACAAAAAAAAAAACAAAAACAAGATGTCAAATGGTTAAATAAAGTGCTAATTTAACAGAAATGAAAAGGTAAATTTAACAAAAGGAGTCAAATGTGATATGTTAACAAGATTTAACTATAGAGGAGCTCCAAACAGAACTTGGCAATCAAATCTAGACAATCAAACTGCACAGAAATTGACCAAAAAGGACCTCAAAACATGTGAACTATGAGTGTTCCATACAAGTCGCATAAAATCAAAGTGACGACAAAACTACTGACACATTAAGAAAAGAAAGTGTCTCAAAATCACAAACCACAGATGGACAAATGTCAGCCAGGAAGTCATGGCTGGGCAACGGCCTTTTATGGATTGCAACAAGTGGAAGAGCTGGATAGGCCGAGCGTGAGGGCGATGCACCAATCGAAGCAGAGGAGCCACAGAAGCCAGAGGCCAATCCCTGGTCCAGTTTGTTGATGTACAATTAATCACTGCATGTATCAACTGTAAAGAGAAAAGTATTTTCTAAAAACATATATTATATACAGGCAGATATAAGGCAGTGTCCACCAGCGTCTGACCAGAAGAAGCTTGGATGAGCTGCGAAACGTATTTGATCAAAAATCGTGTGTCCAGTTGACAGAATTGAATTTCTCCTTTGCCGTGGATCCTATCTGGACGATGGAGGGAATTTACAAACAGCTATGTAGCTGACATAAGCACAGTATGTCTAGTTCAGAATGATCAGAGTGATTCTTGGGAGGCAGGACTGCACTGGTTGGCCTGTTATAAAGCAGGGATCACCAAACTTTTTCTCTGGGGGCCACATTATCGTTCCTGACTGTGATGGGGAGCCGGGGTCGGGTCAGCCGTATAACAGAATTGTATGACCCTGACGACGCAGATTATATACTTTGAAAACCTCCACACTTTCTTTACATATCAGACAAATTGCACGCTCCTTGCGCTGATTAACATAATCAGTCGTCCACTGTTCTGTGAAAACTCAGCACACTCTGTCAATTTTTCAAACTTTTGCTGTCCTTAACTGCACTACAGAACTCTGCTCATGTGTCAACTGTCATTGTTTGATCTCGAGCTTGTCAGATGACGAAAATTCGGCGGCAAATGTAAATAGGTCATATAATTATTAAAATATAAATACTTCATATAAAAATCAGGGGTCGGTCAAAGGGGCGTGGTGGGCTAGAGTCGGTCCGCGGGCCTTAGTTTGATGACCCCTGCTCTAAAGTGAAGTTTGTACTCAGTTAAAACATGCGCATATCATTAAGATAAACAGTGCTGGTACAACTTGACCATTTGATAAAGGAATGAAGGAAGGTATCATAAGAGGCGGGGCTTAAACTCGGGTCGGACCAGTCAGACGGGTACAGAGCTGATACGACTCAGATTGGAGCCGACTGATTTGACTCTGTAAGTTATGATTTTTATTATTATAAAGTTTCACATTTCAGAAATTGGTTGAATATTCTGTGCTAATATTATGATGTGTTTTTGTGTTTCAAACTATTTAAATCCTGATATGGGCCCAAAGTCAGACTATGGAAGATTTGAATAAAGGGTGAAAGAGGATAGATCAAGATAAACCAGGGACAAAGTTCATATCACAAGAGAAATTAAATGACAAATATCAACTACTTGTTAGATTTTCATTTTGAAAATTTGACAATACTTAAAAGGGAAAAAAACTGGGGTGCAAAGTAGTATAAGCTCCAAAGGATCTTATATGAGAGGCTGTTTATGGATTAAATATTAAAGAACAACTATGAGGTCAGTTTTGTTTATTAATGATGGGAACAGAACACATCTCTTAATTCTGTGTTGTTATATGAAGACTAAATGAGCAGGAAACATGGTTAGTAGTCTTCTGGTAAAACTGTTAATATTATAATTCTTGACATTTTTATCATTACAGTAAATTATAATATGACAAGCTAACCTGCTCTTTAACAGAAGAATGTCAAATATTCAAAAAAAAAAATAAAATAAATAAAATAAAATCCAATAAAAGCTGTTGTTGTTCTAAGTAAAAGACACAGACTCTTATTTCCAAACACATCTCTTCAGACTGGCCCAGAGCTGAAACACATGGATCAATCCACTTTTTATATTGTATTTTTGTGATCTTATTGTAGTTGTAGTATTAGTGGTAGAACTTGTGGTAGTAGTAGTAGTGGTGGTGGTGGTAGTAGTACTAGTGGTACTAGCAGTGGTAGTAGTACTAGTGGTAGTAGTAGTGGTAGTGGTAGTAGTAATAGTAATAGTTGTAGTAGTAGTAGTACTAGTGGTAGTAGTAGTAGTAGTGGTAGTTGTAGTAGTAATAATATTAGTAATAGTAATGGTAGTGATAGTAGTAGTAGCAGTAGTAGTGGTACTAGTAGTGGTGGTAGTGGTAGTAGTAGTTCTAGTGGTACTAGTAGTAGTAGTAGTAGTAGTAGTAGTAGTAGCAGAGGTAGCAGTAGTAATACTAGTGGTAGTATTAGTGGTAGTGGTAGTAGTAGTAGTAGTGGTAGTGGTAGTACTAGTGGTAGTAGTAGTGGTAGTGGTAGTAG